CAGCCCTGAATAGGGAGGTTTTTCAATGTTTCATGTATTATTGTGTTTTTATATGTGTCATAAGCTGCCCAGAGTGGTTTGGGGCAGCGCAGTGAGATGGAAGGAGTATAAATAATGAAATTATTATTATTGTTGTTATTATTATTATTAAGGAACAGTGCTAGAAACTGAGATATGAAAGCTAGAAGCTAAATGGCACCTTAAACCTAGATTAAGGGTGCAACAACGGAATGTCTAGGCACGCTTTTTTATAACAAGAATTCAAAGCTGAAAATGAATGAGCTGCAGCTAAAATATTATGTTCATTTTTCACATGGTCTAGTCCTTCCCCTGCCCGCCCCCTAATATCCTTCTCTTCTCCAGTCTTTAGAGAGTAGTTGCAAGTGGGGAGGCAGAAAAGGTCCTACTTTCTTACCAATTTGCAGTTTTAATCTGAAATCTTAGTCACCCAGAGCTCAGAAACTGTTTGTGCTAATGAAATTCCCTGTCGCAAGATGTGACTAGAACAATGGGAGTTTTGAATACTGTTAAGGAATACGGTGTCCCTGTTTTCATTGGAGAAACGTTGGGGGGTATGTGATCACTCAAGCCTCTTGCAGACCTTAGAACTCCCGTGAAGCTTTGAAAACTTTTGTTGCTTGTTGAAAAGGCAATGAAAGTTCCCCAGCCACCAGTGATTGGTGATACTTCTTCCCTTCGCCCATTTAAAGCGAGGGGAAAGCGTAGGCCTCTGTGAATGCCAGCTTGTATAGCAATGATATCAGCTTTTATGATTTCAAAGGGCTGAGCTTTTCCTGGTCTCAACGGAAGCATAGAGAAGACTTTGACAACATCATGACAGAAAGTCTCCTGAATGCAAAAGAGAAATAAGGAAATCCCTGCATTAATATTTTTGAACCCATAAGATCCTAAATCATTGCATTTTTAACATATGACACAGACATCTACACTGGGGTGAGCAATGATGACCTAATTCTCAGTGAGGTTGCAAACTTGTGACTTGACTGTAGCACTTTACTGCAAATGGGTGTTCTCATGATTTGAATACTCACACATGGAGCATATAGAAAACTAAAATCTCAGTCCTGTGTTTTATTTTATTATTGTTGTTGTTATTATTATTATTATTATTATTATTATTATTACAGTTGTACCTCTGGATGTGAACGGGATCTGTTGTAGAGCCCTGTTCACATCCTGAAGCGAACGCAACCCACGTCTGTGCATCTGCGCGTGTGCGGGTCGCGATTTGCCGCTTCTGCGCATGTGTATGACATCATTTTGAGCATCTGTGCATGCGCAAGCAGCAAAACCTGGAAGTAACGCATTCCGTTACTTCCGGGTTGCTGCGGAGAGTAACCTGAAAATGCTCAACCTGAAGCGACTTCAACCAGGGGTATGACTGTACTTTTCAAGTTTATACATTTCACTAATTTTACAATCATTTTGACATTTCAAAACTTGACTTCCTTCGCCCTCTTTCTGGGGTTCCTTAAATATATTTTTAATATCTTCTGATATTAAATATCCAAATTAACTTAATTTATTTATTCATCTTCTTTAAATATATACTCTTATAAAACTGCAGGTTATTACCAGAATCCTGCCAGTGTTTTTATCTGTTTATAATTTATCTGTAAATATTCAATAAACCATTTCCATTCTTTTGTAAAAAAATAAAATAAATTTTTATCTCGATTTCTCATTCTTCCGGTAAGTTTCACCATTTCTGCACATTCCATAAGTTTTTGTATCCATTCTTCCTTTGCTGGGAAGCTTCTTTCCGTTTTGGGGCAAGTAACATTCTTGCCGCTGTAGTGGCATACGTGAATAGGTTTCTATACATTTTATGTAGTTCTGTCCCTATAACTCCCCAAGTGATGTATGGAAGTGACAACTGGACCATAAAGAAGGCTGGTTCGAAGAATTGATGCTTTTGAATTATGGTGCTGGAGGAGACTCTTGAGAGTCCCATGGACTGCAAGAAGATCAAACCTATCCATTCTTAATGAAATCAGCCCTGAGTGCTCACTGGAAGGACAGATCTTGAAGCCAAGGCTCCAATACTTTGGCCACCTCATGAGAAGAGAAGACTCCCTGGAAAAGACCCTGATGTTGGGAAAGATGGAGGGCACAAGGAAAAGGGGACGACAGAGGGCGAGATGGTTGGACAGTGTTCTCGAAGCTACTAACATGAGTTTGACGACACTGCGGGAGGCAGTGGAAGACAGGAGTGCCTGGCGTGCTCTGGTCCATGGGGTCACGAAGAGTCGGACACAACTAAACAACTAAACAACAACAAAACTAGCAAAAATGTGTAACAGGTACAAATATCTGCTGGAAATGTAAAGAAAAAGAAGGTGCCTTTTATCACATGTGGTGGTCCTGTATCATAACAAAAGCATTCTGGGAAATGATATATAATGAGTTGAAAAAAATGTTTAAATTAACTTTTATTTAAAAGTTTATTTATTTAAAAGGCTTTTCTATTAGAAATTTTAGGTGCTGACATTCCAAAGGAGCAGAAAAGACTTTTTATGTATGCGACAGCAGCCACACGGATGCTACTAGCCCAGAGATGGAAAGAAGATAAAGTCCCTATCAGAGAAGAATGACAAATTAAACTGTTGGACTATGCTGAAATGGCAAAACTGACCAAAAAGCTCAGGAACCAAGAAGACCCAAACTTTAATAAAGAATGGGGGGGGGAGATAATTTATCTTGGAGAACACTGTAAGCAGATGAAAACATTAGCAGGATTTCAATAACACTTGTAATGTAGCAAGCACTATGCAGATAGTGTAGTGATATAAAATATGGAGTACTGAATAATATGTAGTTGAAAAGGTTGACAATAGGACCCATGGAAGCCAGAGATTCAGAGGAATCTTTAAATATGGATGCGTATGGTGGTATTGTTATTATTTTATACTTGTAAAATCAAATAAAAATTATTTCATAAAAAAGAGTTCAACCACATGTGGCGGACCACAGGTTCCCACCTTCTGTTTTGGGGCTTTAAAGCAAAATTGGCTTCTTCCCCAAATGTTATGTGGCATTGGAATTGGCCTAATAAAGGTATTGTCCTACTATGCATTTTGGAATTATCACAATGAGAGATCACCAAGCCATTCCTTTGCCAGCAACAATTTCCTTTTGTCATTCCACTGTCTTGCTGTCTACAGCCTTGTATCTTTCTACAACAAGGTCAGTTGCAATACAGTTGTGGTTTTCTCCCAACCCTACCTCAGGGATAAATTATTCAGAAGTAACTTAGACTTTAAAAAAAGAGAAAAGGATACTGTACTAAAACCCAAACCATCACATCCAGTGATAATTAGGTATCACATGGAGAGTGAGATAAAAGAAGCAGCAAATATCAAAAACAGCTTTTACACTTCACATAAAACAATGGCAGACCTAAGAAGCTTGGAAGTGCATTTAAAAAAAAAAAAGTCAGCATAATCATGGACTTGGTGTGATCGTCTATTGATTTCAGTGGCAAGGCTCCAAGATACCCTGCCCAGTGCATACATTGTGGCTCATGCTCTCTCAATGAGCTATTCTTAGACTTAAACTCCTGTGCAATATTTGTCTCCTAAAGAAAAGTTGATTCTTAAGCTTGAAACAAAACTTGCTCCCAATGTTCTCTTTTAACCCATCATCGATGTAGTATTATATAAAAATAACTACAAAAGTGAATCTATCTGTTTGCTGTGTTTTTTAAGCAGTGGATGAAGGGTGCGATCCTATGCACATTTACCTCAGCGTAAGCCTCACTGAACACACTGAGAATTACTTTTGAGTAAACCTGTACAGGAGAGTAAAATAATACGTGTTCTACTTAGTGAGAGATTATCTTGTCTTGCTGTTATGCAAAGTTCTCTAAAATAGGCACAAGAATCCTATTACCTTTCTTGAAATCACTCAGCTGTCCAAACAATATTTCCAATATTTATCTGACTGGACGTTTACATTTTTATCTCACCTTGTTTTATGAACAAGGGGATGCAGACATTAAATAAAACACATTTTTTAAAAAAATTGCCAGCCATGTATCATCATTCTAAAATAAGCAAGAGTATCAAATCAAAAGAACTAGCAGCCCGCAGTTGAGAAGTACTCTTCAACAGATTCTTAAAAGAGGGCATTGTTTCACTAGGTTTGGGAAGGTGGCGGTTTTTTCCCTGTGTTTCCTACCTCCTCAACATCTAAAATGACAAGGTCACAGCAGGGCTTACTGCACAACACACACATGGAGAATATTAAATTTCCCCAGTTTCGAACCGCGCCTTTAATCTGCAAGACTAGAGAATCGCCACGCTCTCCATGCAAGCAGTCACAGCAGTTCCTTAAATCTCCCCCTCCCCTCCCCGCCCAGCACACCCACACACAAAAACATGCTCGCTGGGGTGTGTGTGTGTGTGTATGCGCGCACACATGTATGCATGCTGCATGTGGCCAACTCTGTGGACAATCCTACCGAAGCATGCAGATTTCTGCAAACAGATAATATCCGATCCCTAAGACATCATGTGCACAACAGCCCTACCCAAAAACGCATGGGCACATCCCTCACTAAAGAGCCCTGGTATTCTTTATTTTTTATTCTTTTTTGCAGGGGTGAGGGGGTGCTTCCTTGGCAGCACAGACCATGCTGGAAATGAGAGAGCTGGGATAGCCTCTAATCTACACACTCCACGGTCTTCCACACCCACAGATGCCTCCCATCCTTCCAAGAGCGCATCTTCACTCTGGAAAAAGGGAGTCAGCGCTGTCTTCGGGAGAGCGAGGCTCTTCCGTCCCCCCGAGGAAGCTGACAAAGGCAGTGGCAACCCGGGGTACCCTCTCTCCTCCATCCTCCTTCCTCCCATCCCACATCCTCTCCAGGTAGAGGCTACGGATGCTGCCCGCTGGCCCACGGGATGCTGCGGCTGGGAATGGTCCTCGCGCTGGAACCAGCCTTTCTCCCCATCCCCGCGGAAGCCTGTCGCGCTTACCTAAAGGCTGCCGGCTGGTTGTCAAGCGAGCTCCGGCCGCCCCGGCGCCTCCGTTACATCGCTCCGAGCGCCATGTTCGTGCTCGCCGAGGCTTGTCACTAGCAAGGAGGCAAGGCAGCACCACAGCTCGGCGGCTCCGGCTCTGATGTTGCTGTTGCTGCTGCTGCTGCTGTTACATCCGGGCTGCCGCCGGCCAAAGAGCTCCAGCTCGCCTCGTAGCGGCGATCCGAGGAGATGCTGCGGCTAGGCGAGGCGCGCAAGAAACGCGCCCTGCGCACTGGGGGGAGCGAGGTGCGCGCGCCAGGCGAATATGTGTGCCATCCGCCCCGCCCCGCCGCCTCTTCTTCAAGCCGCAATGAGAGAGACAGAGATTATTAGGAGCCCAAATGATGCCTAAAGAGGAGGGTTGCCTTGGCTTTTCGCTGTTCTGAATTTCAGTTTGTTTCTCCCTTGTTATCCCCCCCCAGTGTTTTCTTTATATATATATATATTTGTTTGGTTTTTTCAGATTAAAATTTTACGCTATATATAAAAAAATATTTATTTGGTTTTTCAGATTTAAAATTTTACAGCCACGTATCGAACATACAACATAAAAACAAGATTCCAAGGAATCTCTTGGACTTTCCGCCTCCCCTTTGTGCGTCCTATTGTTAATCATTTCCTCCTGCATCTTTTATAATAATCCAAATCTTTTATCTCTCCATTGTATCCAAAATTCACCATTAAGCTACAAGTGACATTCCAATCCGACTAATGATTTTAACTGTTTACAGTGGTCTTTAAGATAAGTTATAAATTTCCCCCATTCCTTATTGAAAAATGTGGTCTTCCTGATTTCTGACTCTTCCGGTCATTTTAGCCATTTCGGCATAATCCATCAATTTGATCCGCTGTTCTTCTCTGGTAGGGATTTTATCTTCTTCTTCTTTTACAAATTAATTTTTTATTGATTTTCAGTACACATACATACATTCATAAATTACACATACTGTATATAGGTTACATATTTAACTTAGGCTCTATCATGCCTCTGACTTCCCTCCATTTCTTTGGTAAGTATCAAATAAAGTTCTAATATCACATACTCTATATATCTTATTATCAACTACACGCTGTAAGAGTTATTCCAACCCTACCAGTGTCTTCAAAGATTTACAATTGTTTCTTATATACATCATTATATACCTGGCAGGGGAGACACCTTGATCATGAAGGGATTTTATCTTCTTTCCATCTCCCTTTGTTGTTATTAACGTACCCTCCAACATTTCTCCAATGAAAATAGGGACGACCCATTCCTCCTCCATCAGCATCATCAATACCCCACCTGTCTGCCCTAGGTCGCTCCAGCCACGGCTTCCAACACAATAAAACATTAAACATAAAAACACCTTCTCAGTGCAGGGCTCGGGGGTCAGATAACTCCATTCCCTCCAAAAAGGACAGGAAAGTGGGACATTCCGGGATCAGATCAGAAACCGGGATGACCTCTGTAAATCCAAGACTGTCCCTGGTAAATAGGGTCTGCATTAAAGGCTGGAGAGAAGATTTGCCTAGCAAGAGAAGGCAAACCACAAGCAGCAGCTTGTCCCTGTGTGGTGCAAGTCAATGAGCTGTTGGCTCCACCAGGTTGGCAGGACTATTAACATCATTACCGATCATTTGTGATATAAAACTGATCATTTGTGATATGAGGACTTCTCCTTCAGCCCAGGCTAGGCTTTGTTGGAAAAGGGGAGTTAATGTTGTAAGGAAGTGATGGAGGGCACACATGTCAGGAAGATATCTCCTCAGGCCCTACTTCACATCTGCCAAGTATTTTTCTCTGGCTGGAACTCTGATAATGGTTCTGAATTGCAGGGATGCAGCATAGCAAGGCTGGCAGCTGCCCCAGGCAGCAGATGCTGAGGTAGCAGGAGTGTCCAGGGGTAGGAGTACAATGTGATGGTTAAGTCCAGTCAAAGGTGACTATGGGGTTGAGACACTCATCTCTGAGGCTGAGGGAGCCGGCGTTTGTCCACAGACAGCTTTCTGGGTCATGTGGCCAGCATGACTAAACCACTTCTGGTGCAAAGGAACACCGTGACAGAAACCAGAGAGCACGGAAACACCATTTACTACCTTCCCGCCACAGCGGTACCTATTTATCAGCTTGCACTGGCATGCTTTCGAATTGCTATGTGGTAGGAGCTGGGACAGAGCAACGGGAGCTCACCCCATTGAGGGGATTCGAACCACGGACCTTCTGATCAGCAAGCCCAAGAGGCTCAGTGGTTTAGACCACAGCGCCACCTGAGTCCCTAATCCTTAGACAAACCTACTGCCCTCAAGTACAGTGGGAGACACTGTCCTTTCCCCAGTGACATTTCTCTGAACAGACCTTGGATGGGGATGTGTGTTTCTCAGGGCTTCAGCCACAAGATCCATTGTGTCACTACTTGTGTAGCTAGGGTTGCCTTATTTCAAAAAGTGAAGATCCGGACAGAAAAGGTGTTGAAATTGCAAAGAAATTGGACGTTTTGGAGCAAATCGGCAAAAACAACACTTCCGACATGGGCTGCTATACATCTGGAGTTTCCCAGACTTTTAGCTGATTTCTGCGTAGACGCACTGCTTGCAGCTGCAGTATTCTGGACATGTCTGGAAAATTTTGGACGTATGGCAACCCTAGGAGTCGCAAATTGAATTATATGCTAGGCTGCCACCTGCAACCAATGTTGCTGCCTTGATTAACTTATGGAATGTTTGCCTTGCCATGTTTTGAGCTTGCTGTGGCTTTTTAAAAATAAGTTCTGGCAGGCAGTTAATAAATGCTCTTATGGAATTTGAGGCATGCCATTCAAATTTATGGGTTTCTTTTTCCCCCAACCAGAACACATCAGAACTCACTTCTGGCCCCTCTCAGGTGGGCACCCTTGTCATTATAAGAGAGCAAGGGAGGCCTTCCTGGTGAGTTGCAGACTATACCTTTAGTGATCTGGAGTCAGTGCAGGGAAACAAATTAGGTACAGTGGTACCTCGGGTTATGTACTTAATTCATTCCAGAGGTCTGTTCTTAACCTGAAACTGTTCTTAACCTGAAGCACCACTTTAGCTAATGGGGCCTCCTGCTGCTGCCGCGCCGCTGGAGCACAATTTCTGTTCTCATCCTGAAGCAAAATTCTTAACCTGAAGCACTATTTCTGGGTTAGTGGAGTCTGTAACCTGAAGCGTATGTAACCTGAGGTACCACTGTAATGGGCATGGTCTGTACAACAATGTGAGAATGCAGCTTGAAACTCAGCAGGTGGAAGGGAAGGAGGGAGGACCTCTTGACATTTCAAGCCACTAATATCCCTTTTGACTGCACAGGGAGTGTGAAATATTCCAAATCTGCAGAACCATTGTTGGTTTCCTGTGGTGATGGCCCAAACCCAGCAGGATCCAGCCAGCAGATTTATGCCTGGTGCCATCTAACACTGGTGTATCACCTGGTAGACTCTGTAAAATACAGCAACATTTAAGTGTGCCTTCTATTTAGTCAGCAGAACTGAGGGACTGAGGCCAAAACTGGACAGATCTCCAGGTCCTGCAGAAGTAAACCTTCCGATTACTACATGACACAAATATCATAGAATCATAGAATCATAGAGTTGGAATAGACCACAAGGGCCATCGAGTCCAACCCCCTGCCAAGCAGGAAACACCATCAGAGCACTCCTGACATATGGTTGTCAAGCCTCTGCTTAAAGACCTGCAAAGAAGGAGACTCCACCACACTCCTTGCAAACACAGAAACTTTCATCATCCCTGCAAACACAGAAACTTTCTCTTTCTCTGCGAACTGCATCCTGCAAGTTATTTCTTTTCTCGGCAGCGCTTCTATGAAATCTTTGGTATCGTGGGGCAAATCTATACTGGCAAGGCATCTGCCTGATCAGAAGCAGCATGCTCTGCTGTCTTGAAGCAATGGGATTTGTGAAGTGCAAGTAACTAACACTGTGCAAGCTATTCACTGCAGAAAAGGACTATACCTTCACTCTACAAACCTAGCAATTTTATTTGCAAGGCAGCTTTCTAGAATCTGAAGTATTCCCCATTGTGAGTTCACCTCATGCTTGGTTTCCTTTTGTTGAAAGCTATTCTTTCCGAGACTTAATTGGCATTGTGAAGCTTTCTCCTTTTGTACCTGTCTAGCTCTCCACCGCTCAGCTGTTGAGATGTTGGGGAAACTTTGCCAATCAGAGAGGACCACTTAGCACATGCCATTTTTCTACATGGAGGTAACTCCATAGAAGTATATTGCTTATTTATTACATTTTATCCCATCATTTTTTCCTCCAAGTTGCTCATGGACATTGCTTTCCCCTTCCCCATTTTATCACCACAATACCCCTATGAGGTTAATTAGCCTGAGAGGTTGTGACAGGACCAAGGTAACATTGCATATTATCTACAAAGATGCAAAAATACCATTGTGGACCCATTCACACTGCCCTGCACCCCAGAGGGAGAGTCCAAGATGAGGATAGGTGTAAACAAACTGGACAAGACAACGTTCTGGGATTTAAAATTGGCTACAACTTTCATTGATTACTGATGCACATAGGCTTTGACTCAGGCATTGGTTCTTTATATCCATTCTCAGCCTCCAGATGGAGGGCTGATGCTTAAGCAGCATTATACCTGGGATTTTGACACCTCCTCAAGATACAGGTCCACCAAGGTGGCCCTCTATGGTCCATCTGTCCCACGCTTGGCTTCTGGACAGAGACTTCCATTTCAACCCCTCTAACAGAGTGCTCTGAAATCGCACCTGCTTGAGGAAGTGTCACGACTCCCAGGCTAGCTGCCTGGTGAAATCAGAGATGCAGAAAGCTTCTTGCAGTTCTTTTATTTAAATCAACAGAATGCACAGAGAGACCGTGAATTATTCTCAGTCTTGAGACATTGCTCAGAGTGCCCCTTGCAGTACTTCCAAACCCCTCCTTACTGCCTACGATGGCTGGAGATGGAATCTTTCTGTCTCTGTTTAGCCTTCTGCTCGAAGATGCAAAGGGATTGCCTGGTCCTCAGAGAAGGAGGAGGTTCTACCAGACTTTCAAGTGATGTAGTGTCCACGTCTGCTGTGCTGTTTCTCCCACTCCCAGAGTCCTGTCTCTGTTCATGACTAAAGCATCTGCTTCCTGCCAACCTAGCAGCTTGAAAGCACGCCAGTGCAAGTAGATAAATAGGTACCACTGCGGTGGGAAGGT